TGCCCAGGCAGGTCTCGAACCCACGGGCTCAGGCAATCCACTCACCTCAGCATCCCAAAGTGCGGGATTACAGGCTGAGCCACCGAGCCTGGCTCCATATTCTTTAAATTCACCTTTTGCCTTACATTTTCATGGTAACCTCGCCCTAACTAATTTACCCTAGCAGTGAGATTAGGCTAGCTACTGGTATTTCTATTCATGCCAAAATGAATATACAGAAGTTCCTAGACTTCTGGTGTGGTTATGTCCTGATAAACCCATTATAAGTCAAAAGTGCATTTTCAATTTAGGATGTTTTCAGCTTAGGTTGGGCTTACCCAGAAGTAACTCCATTGTAAGTTGAGGAGTGTACTAAATGCCTACGGCTTTCACACCATCATAAAGTTGAAAAATCGCAAGTTGAACCACCATAAGTGGAGAACCACCAGTATATGAGTAAAATGAGAAAATGATTGAGGTCAGGTGTGGTGGTTCACGTTCGTAATCCAAGCACTTTCTGTAGCAGCAGGATCACTTGAGCCTAGGAGTTCGAAGCTGCAGTGAACTATGATTGCACCACTGTACTCCTGTGAGACCTTGTTCCTAAAAATAAAAATAGACAGTGGCTCACACTTGTAATCCCTGCACTTTGGGAGGCTGAGGCAAGAGGATTGCTTGAGCCCAGGAGCTCAAGACCAGCCTAGGAAATAGTGAGACCTTGTCTCTACAAAAATTTAAAAATTAGCCAGGTGTTGTGGCATGCACCTGTAGTCCCAGCTACTCAGGAGGCTAAGGTGGAAGGATTGCCTGAACCCAGGAGGTCGAGGCTGCAGTGTGCCATGATCATGCCACTTCCCTCATGCCTGGGTGACAGAGTAAGACTCCAACTCAAAAAAATAAAAAATAACAAAAAATAAAAATTAGGCTGAGCATAGTGGCTCACACCTGTAAACCTTGCACTTTGGGAGGCCAAAGCAAGGGGATCACTTGAGCCCACGAATTCAAGAACAGCCTGGGCAACATAGCAAGACCCTGTCTCTATAAAATAAATCAAATCAAATCTTTATGTTGCATCACTGTAGGGGAACTTGTGCTTAAAATGCTGGCAAACCTGGGGCCCAGTATTCCTTCTCCAGTCCTTCTCACCTTGAGCTCCCTCCCAGGAAAATAGCACTCACCCCTCCCAGGGCTTGGAGTCTGACGGGTCCGTATTCTGGCATGTCCTAGTACCTCACCTTCAGCTCAGCCTTCTCCTCTCAGCAGCATTGGCCTGCTTCTCCATGTCTCTGACTCCCAGGCCCCAAGGATATGGCAATGAGCCCACAAAGCCCTCCTCCAGGGCCACCCAGCTCTGGGGCTCTCTACTTCCCACGTGGTGCCGGCTGCTGCCCCTCATGCCAGAGACCTCACTGGCCAGCACTCACTTTCGCTTCCTCCCAATCTGTCTGTCCTTTCCTTCCCCAACATAGGGTCCACGGTCTTGCCAACACTCCACACTCCCTGACTCCTTCTTTCCTAGTCCAGACCAAAGCTATTTCCGGAATGAAGAGCTCTCAATTTTTATTTTTTTATTTTATTTATTTTATTTTTTGAGTTGGAGTCTCACTCTGTCGCCCAGACTGGAGTGCAGTGGCCGCTCCCAGCCCCAGCCACCGCAGCCTCGACCTGCTGGGCTCCGCGATTCTTCCGCCTCAGCCTTCCGAGTAGCTGGAACTACAGGCGTGCGCTACCACACCCGGCTAATTTTTTTTTAATTTATTGT